GTACAATGAAATTGTCATTACACATTGTATGTATGTTCTCATGTAGTAAATGTCACCATTACCTTTCTTATTTTTTAATACAAATCCAAATTGCATCTGCATAACTTTTTTAAAGGGGAATATACGCATGCACAAACTACTTTTCTGGGTTCTGCGCATGCTCTAGGCCCATGCCCTGAAATTGACCTCATTTGACGCACATATTTACACGCGAACCAAACCATTTTCTCATCTTGGATGTTTGTTTTTTTCATTTTCTGTTATTTTTGTCCGTGATTGGATAGAAAAAAACGAACTACAGATACTCCGAGATTTTTTTGACTGCATTAAAAAATAAAATCGTTTTTGTAGGATGGAAACTTTTTGAGGTCACCCCCCTACACCCAAACTAAAGCAAATAAGTTTTTTTTTATCCGACATCAATGTTTTGACGTCGTCCCTTATGGTATATCCCAAAGCCTGAATCCAATGTTGAAAACAAATTGCAGTCACATAAATTACGTATAATCTGTATTGTCAATGAAATGTCATTAAAATGTGAAAATAAAAATGATGAAAATCTGTTTGTTTGAAGTTCTAATTTCAGACAATCGACGAGAATTGCAGAATATTTAATATAACACCATGTCATTGTACAGTTTTTGAGGTATCATAAAACATTTTATTTATTGTTTTATTTTTGAAAAACAAAAAATGTAGTTGGCATGGTAACAATGCTTCATCAGTCAAAAGTGTTAAAACAGTTTCTGATCGAAAAAAACATTCATTATTTAGATACTGTAATATATTTTCGCTGAAGGTTATCTTTATTCAGTGAAAATAAAATCCAGCAAATATACCTTTTTTCCTATATTTTAAATTTAACTTGTCAAAAATCAGTGAAAATTAATTCTATACAAAACACCCAAAAAGTCTTTTCAATGATAATTAATGCTAGCTAAAATAAAATATTTTACAGTAAACAAATTGACGGAGTGAAGTGAGTCTAATTCAAATGTTTGTATTTTTGTTACATTTCTATTAGACAAACAAAAACATCAAACTTCTGTTTCAATTTGTAAAATAATATACAGCATAATTAAAATTTAACAATATTCCTGTCAAAGCTGTGGTGAGTACTTTACTTACCATGATAAACGCGCTTGTACGCAGGATACGAAGAAGAAAGCCTTCAAAATGACCGCCGATTTGTATTTGAGTAAGCCGACGAAAACATCAATAGGCAATTAGATCATCACTCAATGAGAGTATTGACAGCTGTCAGCGTGAATAGTTGACATATTGTTCGTCATTCACAGCTCAGTTCAATCTCACGCACACATAGCGTTATGCATTGTTGTGAAGAAAAAAAACACATCTATGATGTCAGTGTGGCGCTAAAATAAGAATCCCACGTGGTTTCGGATACATTGCTGTCGCTATACTTGCAGAAAGTTTCAACTTTCTTGTCTGTTTTCTTGGCTGCCATGCGGAACCCACTCACGTGATTAAATGAGAGGCTGGCAGGTTAATAACATTTAAACGTTATTTGAACTGAAAGTACTCATTATAAAACATCGAAATTTAGCACAAGAAGACTTTTGAATGCTCATTAAGCAGCTGGACAAAAATGGTTCAATTAGGCTGTGGTAGATTAATAAGGTACATGCAATATTTATGCAAGAATAATAAAAAGGTTATGGCGGTGAAATTCAGCTCATCGATATTTATTAATTCTCGTTACATTAATGCGAAACATGCTTGATCGGAACTTGTAGGTTAATACGATTTGTTTGCGTTACATTCATCTATGTAACAAACTTGAATATAGAACATCCACTTACGATGTAAACTATGTTCACGAAATAACAACAATATTAATTGCACAGAGATAATTGAAGATTTCCTAACAAAATGATCAATTGTTTTGTAAGAGATGCGATGTCATCAGCAATCTGTAATTGTTGCAGGGAAGATGGAGATAATAGATAACCTATATATGTGTCTAAGCTATCGAATGTAGGATGCTTTTTTTTTACCAGTTTTATGTAGAGACAGACACATTCATATAATAATACTAATGGCCACATCGCCATATTGGATTGCAAGTTGGTGTTATTAGAGATAGCGAGCTCAATATGCGGAGTTCGTTATTGTTACACCATCAGCATATTTTTAGGCATTTAATCCGCGGTGATATCATCTTCTATGTTTGTTTTACGTCCAAAACTCGACAAGTGCGCATGCCGGTACGTAGCATCGGAACATGATATATATAATTGGGAGGGGTGTAAGAATTCGTGTTTGGATTTCATGGTTGTAAAATTCTGTTTCGTTGGATTAGAGGTGAAGGCATATGCTTTCTTGGTTGTTCAATTATGGATACAATTTGTGTGGTTGGTTGATGATGTGTTGATTGGTTGTTGGGTCATTAGTTTAGATACCCTGTAGCTTGAAATGTTATGACCCTAATTACATATTCTGTATGGCGGCCTAGTCTGAAAACATGTCATCAAAATGCCTTCTGCGTAGTTCTTAAATTTGTAGATCCTGAGAATTACAGCCATTGAATATGATGTCAGAAAAATATATGCATTAGTAATTATTGCTGGAAAGATTTCAATTTGTATTGGGAGAAAACTGTGCCGCCAACGCCAGTCGTTGTATTGTCGTGGTTGTAAATTAAATTCTTAAATTCTTAAAATATCGAATCGAAAAATATGAAGATGAAATAGTTTCTAACTGTTTAGATTCATGTAGCGGATTCTGTTGTAAATTTTTCGGCAGTTTTTTAAGGTTTTATTTTAGTCTTTTCTGATGCCCAAGAGTCTTAGCGTAGTCATTGACGCCTATTCAAGAGTATGATGTTTATTGTGACTAGCGTGAAAGGGTAAGCTTCGTTTCGACAATGAGCTGTTATCACTGTAAACAATATTAAATTTTTCTTCAAATGCTCAGTTTATCCACAGTTATCTTTTGCTATTTTTTCATTAAAAAACAAATCATGCCGTTTTCCCATCAAAATAAAAGACAAAAGATCGTACAACAACATCGGCAAATCTCCCACGTGCTGCGTTCAATAACATTAACATATTTAAATGAGCTATGGTTGTTTGAACACGTTGGCATCATCCAACGTTTCCATTGGTTAATTGGCGATTTAACCTGTCATAAAATAAGTTGAAATTTATTTGCATTACATAACAATTCAACGAGTTTATTTTTTGCACGTTATTGTAATCCTTACTATGGAATAATCACCAATTGTGAAACGTATCATGACCGGATTGCGCTGCCGCAATCTTTTGCTACTAAGCAATGCAGTTGTGTTCGTTTTTATTTGAAACTTCTTTTAAAATATACTTTCGTTACTAATAAAATGAAAAAAATATATATAATTGTATTTGGCGCACGAGGTTCGCTAATGTGATTTTTTTGGAGAAAGATGCGCTGGATGACATTGTAATAACATTTTAGGCGGTCTACTTTTTTCAATCCAGCACAAAAAATGTATAAAATTTTAGATTAACTTCTACAATAGTTTCTTTCGTTTTGGGTGGTCCAACTGCCGGCGTTGAATGTTGGCGTAGATTGATTTTTCAATGAAAACATAAGTCCCTAAAATATTTGATGATAATTTTTTGAAAATTTGAGCCCCAAATAAGGGCACACCAGCCGTGAAATCGCGATTTTTCGGATGGGCGACGGAATTTACGACAGAATCCGGTATATAACATGTATTTGTTTCCAGTGACAGACTTTGTTATTGGATTTGTTATTATTCTTTTGACTATGGATTTGGATATCGTTTGGTTATTTTGTTATTTGTATCGTACAATTATATGAACAGTAAATGTAAATCCATCTCTTACATGGTTCGCTGTCATTTTTGAATAGCTTTGCTGCCAATAACATAACACGATAAAACATGCCTTATAGCCCCATTGAAGTGGGTAATGTGTTCAAATGTTAAAAAATCAAAGGGTTAATATCGATAAAATGCATATACCATATTAACCTTCCTAACCTTTAAAAACATTATAGAATCACTTGCGTCTACTGTTTATAGACAGGTGTTTTATTTACGTGCATAGTAGCCTTTGCTCAATTCATGCACACTCATCGGTAATGTTTGGTTTCTGAATGTACATTGTCAGTCATATCTGAGATACAACAATCAAAGACGTATAATATTTGAAATATTGAAGCAAAACGTCTCACAAAGTACAACCCGGCCCTCCCCAATGTCCCGGGTGCGCGCTCAGTAACCTGGGAACACGAAACTCATCTACTATCGTGACTACAAACCCAATCTTTTGATTTTTATGAATATTTATGAATTTCGAACGCAGTTGAATTCAACAAGCGAGCACATTGCGCAATGACGTCATTTGAAAATGTTTCTAAATTATTCCAATTGTCGAAAGAAACCTTTTGTTAGGTTTCAGTTTTAATTTATAAATATGAAACAAAAAATCAAGGGACTACGTTTGTGGTGGCGATAGTGCTATTTAGAATACATTCGCGAAGCACTCTGCTTACAGCGACATCTGTATGTTTTTTTTTCAGCCACAATTACTTTGCCATGCTCTCAATTATGACAAGGGTGAGGTTTATCAATTTTGTTGGAAACAGTAGGAAGCAAACAAATGTCCATCCTCCGTCGCGCCCTCTGTAGTTCACGATATGATCAATTGCCTTTCTCTCGTAGATTATGCGTGCGATGTTGGAGTATGACGTCACTTTTTCATTTGACGCCCACGTAAAAAGTAAAATAGGTGCCAGTACACAGAAAGCCGATGCACAATCGAACTGTCATTCCTGTGATTATATTGATTGATTGATTGATTGATTGATATGTTAATTGATCAATCGTTAAAAAACATATTGGAGTAGCAATTTTAATTGCATTTTACAATATCCATATTCAATTAGCGACTTCCTGTTTCAATTGAGAGAAGTTCTATAAAAAAGCACCACCGACATTAGAAATTTACAGTTTTTTTTTCAGAATACAAACCACATCAACAGCAAAAATGTATTGCGTGATCGTGATTGTCGTTTTAGCGAATTTATTCTGGACTGGCAGTGGGGTAGTAATCAGTAATTTGGAATTCGTAAGTTTAATTTATTTAATGACTTGTTAATATTTTAGTAATTTATTTTTTGACAATATTTCACATACCTGATACATAGACACAATTACCAAACCATACACACTAGAGACGGCGCGTATACCCATTGTTATAACTAGTCAATGAAATTCTTAGCGGGGATGTTTCAGAAGTTGAACCACTGCATGTGGATGACATGCGAAACGCTCTACGTTATAATGAGAGAGCTTCCAGGTAAATTTTAAATTGTGCAAGAAACGTGGTAAAAAGTTGCTATAAGTAATAACTGAGACAAAACTCAATCATCATATTTGATAAAACCAGCCATTATTTTGCATTGGCCGAGGAGCATGGTTTTATTTGTGGTCAACGAAATGTCTTCTTGTAGTGTTTTTTCATGAACGGCTGCACTTTTATTGAGTTTTGTTAACATTTGGTAATATGCTAAAGCCTATCAGTTCTAAAAGTATATATGATATGACTGCGTAAGTTAGGTTACCAGAACAACTTATTTTATTTTTTAATTATTTTTCCTCAACGTGGTCAGACACTTGACCAGTTCCGCTAAACTGCCTCCTTGACTTATTTGTATCATTTGTTTCAATAACGTGAAATGGTGAAATAAAAAAAAATAATTAATTAATTGTTAATGTCGAATATAATATATGTGTATATTGTTGTCATCTAGTGTTCATATTCCATATGACACTTGATCAGTGGGTGTGGTAATCTTAACCATGCAGTATCTTTAGCATTTAGCATTTACACACCGTATCAAATAACCTATTTGAACGACAATGTTGACACGACACTATGACGTCACAGAAACGCATTGTCAAAAAAAAATGCGACTTCATTCCCGATGCATATATTAGCATGGAGCTGGTAAATACAATGTTTGTACATTTCATTACAGAAATCTGATGAAGGCAACCACATCGGTACGTACATTGTTCGTCTCATGATTTTGTATTGCATGTGATATTTAAAAATGAGTGCGACATACAAGGAACTGAGTGAAGGGGAAATATCGCACTAGAGATATATGCACACGCGGACTGACATTTTGTTATTAGTATATTTTTTAAAGATTAAGGTCATTAAAATTGTTATAATGGGAACGTTTCAACATAAGTTTTTGGCTCAAACTGAAAACATTTACGCCTTTATACCTAGTACAAAACGTGTTTTGGAGGAACAAGATTTCTTTATACATCCTCTTCGAGTCATTACTTACATACAATAAATATCAATCAACAAAATAAACCTTTTACATGTGATTTTATTTATATGTTAATTTATAATGAGTCCCATATACGGGAACCAATGGTTAGTTTTATTCTTCATGGAGATTTATTTATGTTTTCGTGTGGGAAAAGTAGTTCAAGGGCATAAATTGTTTAAACTGGATTTTATGAATTACTATGCAAAATAAACCAAAGCACTTAGATTATATGTGTTAAATGTAAATGCAAATTTAAATCTTATGTTCGTTTTCATTAGTCGCGCACGATAATGACAATTGTATCGGCTATGAGTTTTGGTTCGATAAGAAAATGTCATGGGACGAAGCCGCGGATGCATGTGGATGTAAATTGGCAGTGGTCAATGACAGGTCTCTTTTCAATAAGTTAAGAAGATTTATTAACCAGGTAATGCTAGATAATCGCTTACAAAAACCAAAAAATAAAGGTTACTGGATTGGGGCAAGTGATAAAGCTGAGGAATTATCTTTCGAATTTTATTGCGACTCTTCCACAAGCAGCGGAATTACGCTACCTCTTGAATATCCGCCTTGGTATGAAGATCAACCAAACAATCACATGAGAGACGGAATTGGTCAGAATTGCGTTCAAATGTGGTAAGTTTTCGTATGTATGATGTATTTCAAGTCGAGATAAATATTACATCTACATTACCTCACTGAGTACATTGGTTGACTTGGCAACGTTATTATTTGAATGACCTTCAGATAAATTGTTAATTATATTAACAATTTGTGTTGTATTTGTTTATGATATCGTATTTATGTTATTTTACGTGGTGATGCGAAAAGTGGCGGCTGATATATTAGGAACACGAATTTTAGTGATGTCCAATTGTGTTTTAATTTTAGGAATCGTGATGGCAATAATGCCTTTAAATTGGACGATGACTGGTGTGCCGATGAAAAATCGTTTATCTGTCAATTTCCCTGTGAGTATAGTTTGTAATCATCGGTCAGTTGTACTATAAATTGTGTTGCCCAACCAAATTACTTCCCACGTGGAACAACGAACACACAGAATCCCCCATGATGATACAACAACAACGTTGACATACGCCGTCCCACTAAATTCGAAATGAACATTCATCTATTATTGTGATACGTTACATGATGAGGTACGTGACCCTGGCCATGGTAAACAACTCCAACTGGCGCGAGAAAAAGTCTCGTGTTCAATAATTGCTTATCTCTACATCATCGAGGAAGCCAGAAGCGATATATTAAACTAAACCTAACGTGTACCCATGGTTGTAACATAGTTATTATGTGTATTTTACTTTCAGTGAGCTGCTGCAGTCCTAAGTGATAAGGTAATACACGAAAGCGTTCCACGTCGGTTGAACTTGATACAAGTAGCATTCTATTTCTACATGTCACGGACTCTAATGACGCGGCGCTTCTGTGACGTCAATATGACGTATATAGGCGGAAGCAATGTCGTTCAAATCAATATTTACTATATGAGACGCAGCCGCATTCAAGATGGCTACCCCCACTCCCATATAGTAAATATCGATTTAAAATTAATCGCATTTCTTTGATTATCAATTGTACGCCAGCTGGTTATGACGTATAGTTGCTCGTCATCTAGAATATAATAAAATATCTGAAAAACAGTATCTTAATTGATTGACGATTACAAATCAAAATTATATCGTCACTTCGATCTGCTTTCCCGTCACCCAGTTTACGTCACAGATTCGCTTCGTCGCTAGAGGGCGCGATTTAAAGTAAATGTGTATTAGAATGTTCAAATGACAATTGCTATGCGGTTTTTCATTTGAAATCTGGATTTCCGGGATTTTTTTTGGCAGTGCTTTAAATCCAATGCAATTCTGCAGAGTTTTATTGTATGGCTGCTATGTGACATAGTAATTTGAAATCAAAAAAATTAAGCCTTCATACATATTTTTTTCAAAATGTAATACAGTCACGAAACGTGAACTGAGGCAATAAGTGAATATAGACCATCGGGAGCATCCTCGTCTAATGGGTAGCATTTTGAGTGCGCTTTAACTCAACCTTTGACCAACTTTGTTTTGAATAATCGGGGAAAACACTAACTTCTCCCAAATTCAAATCTTCGGAACTTTCGGTTGCGTCGTGTGCGGTTAACTGTACAAGTGAATCTTGTTGGTTTATAAGGTTGAGTTTTAGTTATAAACTGTATATGAATGCAGGTGTGTATGTGGTTAACAATCAAGTGTGGTCGTTTGGAATCTGCATATCAATATATTGTGGTCGTTTAGAATCTGTATATCAATATATTGTGGTCGTTCAGAATCTGCATATCAATATATTGTGGTCGTTTAGAATCTGCATATCAATATATTGTGGTCGTTTAGAATCTGTATATCAATATATTGTGGTCGTTTAGAATCTGCATATCAATGGATTGTGGTCGTTTAGAATCTGCATATCAATATATTGTGGTCGTTTACAATCTGCATGTCAATAGATTGTGGTCGTTTAGAATCTGTATATCAATATATTGTGGTCGTTCAGAATCTGCATATCAATATATTGTGGTCGTTTAGAATCTGCATATCAATATATTGTGGTCGTTTACAATCTGCATGTCAATAGATTGTGGTCGTTTATAATCTGCATATCAATATATTGTGGTCGTTTAGAATCTGCATATCAATATATTGTGGTCATTTACAATCTGCATATCAATAGATTGTGGTCGTTTACAATCTGCATAAGAATAGAAGCACAATAGTTTGTAGTCTGTATGCACGCAAACACACACGTGCCGATTCAAGGAAATGAACATGCATACAGAAGAACAATTCACCTGGCCATGATAAGCAGGACAAAAGTCAATTCTCATAAGCTAATAAATACCTCACCAATTTAAATACATATGATGACGTTTTTCTGATACATGTTTGATTTTTTTCTCTCAAGTCTGCTTTGATTTGATATGTTTGCCAATTCGGAACTGTAGAATATGAGGCTTACTGAATATAATGTCGAAATAACATATTTTTCAATACCATTTCAGGCGAAACACATCGAGATGGACACGGCGAATGCAATATGTTTAATTGAGAAATTAAATCTTACAATCGTACACGTGACTGGCATATAGTTTAAAATAAATCTTGATTGCAAAACTAAACCATGCTTTTGTGTATTCAATAGTTCAATTGTCTCAACACTCGCACATAATTGTATTCATATCGCAAAATGTAAAGGTGTGATATAATATCCAAGTGTTCAAATCGTGATGACACAGTCATGAATCGCTTTTGCTATTTCTTGACGATTGCATATTCGTTGATATTCTTTTTTATTTTGTTGCCCTTCTATCAGGACTTAATGTATTTATTTTACCTCATCAAATTTTTTTTACAACTTATAACATATATGGCAGCTTATCTAACATTATTCATTTTAATAGCACTATAAATCCAAATATTGACAGGCCTAACAGTTCTTAGCCAATCGTTCCATTTACAAACTTTCTCTTTAGTTTAACGGCGCAGTTCAAACTTATTGATGCTTGGCGTCATGTCAATGCGCGAGAATTTACATAGATAAGGAATCAAAGTAAATCACCTATTGATAAATCCCTCACACAATGAATCAAATACACGTCAATCGAGCCGCATTTGAACCTGTCTGTCACTGTATTGTCACACTGTGTATGTCTTTTACACATGTCAGCAACCGTAATCCTTCCTTGATTTATGAAGAGTGCTGTCAAATTATATATGATTATTGGTTGATATCGCGTAATGGGCAGACACGCGTGGTGGGATGTTGGGAAGACTAAAATTAAAGAATTTACTCAACAATATACAGCAAAACTTAGTAAAAATTATAAGCAAACTAAATGCACACTCAATAAAGAAATCGCACACCTTGAACAAAATACACTTAACACTCCAGCAATGAATACAGAAATAAACGACAAAAAGGCGCTACTAGAAAACCTGTCCACACTGAAACTAAAGAGGCCGCAATCAGATCCCGGCAAAAAATCCTAAATCAGAAAGATGCGTCAACAGCGTTCTTTTTTTTTTACATTGAAAGACACATTGAGGCACCAGTTGCAGCGGTCCGGCGGTACTGTAGCTGAACATCCACATGGTGAACTGTCAAATGCAGTTAATCCAATGGAAAATCACCCGGCATCGATGGACTGCCCGGGGAGTTTTATAAACACTTCTTGTCACTGATTGAACCAGATTTATAGAATGTTTTTAAAGCCTCGTTAGAGGACGGTATTCTGCCTTTGTCTTGCCGGCGGGCTATGACAACGCTCCTTCCAATAAAGGAAATAATTCTTTGTTGTAAAGTCTTTTATGTGCTGAATTACAAGGTTTTGACAAAAGTCATTTTACTCAGGCTAAAATGTGCACTTGGTAACATTATTAACACTGTTCAAACGTACCGTGTTTCGGGCCGACAGATATTTGATAATATAAACCTACTACGTGACGTCATAACATATTTAAATGAAAATAATATCTCACTCAGCATTGTCTACTTTAGAGACCAGGAGAATGCGTTTTATCGCATTCATCGCAGTTATCTTTTTAGTACACTGCAGGCTTTTGGATTTGGAGAACAGTTTGTCAAATACATTTAGCTCTTACATATCAACATTAACCTCACATATCCCATACCTTTCCCACGTGGAATACGGCAAAGCTGTTCTCATGTCAACTTCAATGAATGTATTCATTAGCCATAGAACCGTTACTTTAAATTCGAGGTGTGAAATTTCGCAATTAATTAATCTGACTAACTATGCAAACGATGTGTGTGTTTTTTCTCACATAAAATAGTGATTTTTTTTTTCAAACTTGTAGAGTGGCTGCACGTCTATGAACGTGGTAGCAATTCCTGTGTTAATTACGGGAAATCGCAAGGTTTATGGGTCGGCAAATGGAAAACAACAACCGACCAATGGGTATAACCTGGAACAATAATGGTTTGAAATCTTAGGCACTTTTCCTGAAAATAATCAAGTATCCTTAGATAAAAACTGGGAATCGACAAATCTGAATCGAAACACGCGCTTTAGTGGTAGCATTAAAACTATTACATCGATTTGTTTGTCTTTGTTCACCTCTGAAAAACGTTATGAACTTCAACAAATGTTTCTGAAATTTGTCTGGCAAGGTCGCCATTGGGTTACTACGGAAACAGTTTACTAGCCCATAAGTGAAGGTGGCCAAGGTTTGATAAATTTGTACACACGTATTACTACTTTCCGTATTCAGTTCATTCAACGGTATTTGTATGCTAATTTAAAACACTAGTTATTTTCTTAGGATTGTACAACTTTTGAATTATGACTATTTATCTATTTATCACACGCCTCAACAAACCAACTGTTGACCTTCTAGCATTTTATCATGACATTCTCAAGACTTGGTTCTCTCTTGACATTCTCAAGACTTGGTTCTTAATTTGTTACTTTAATAAAGGACAAATCATCCACGTTTCAGGAAGTGTGCGCAAAACCATTGTTTAATAACCCACTGGTCTTGCAACCAATTAAAAACACACCACTTAATTTGTTACATTTCCGTGAAGCTGGCATTACCAAAGTAGTTGATCTGATAGGTTACGGTAGTAATAATTGGCTACAAGTTGATAATTTACATGAAATAGTACCCATATATTCAAAGAGACTGATTGGCCCTTGATGCGACACACCAAGCCATACCAACTCATTGGTAACATTATTGACAATAACAATGATATAATAAATAACAAATGAAATACAAATACCTGACAACAACAACAACAACAACAACTACTCACTTTATTAATAAGGGCAATACCATTCTATTAAATTGCCCGCTGTACAAATTTGACAAGGGAGAATATATAAATTTCTTGTATCAAAATAAAATGTCAAAAGTAACAACACTCAGCGATAATGTCTGGAGAGATGTTCTATCTCTCAACCTTGTCTACAAACCTAATTTTACAGATTACTACTTCCTTCCAACCAACCACAAAAAGGATGGTGACCTACAGTGGCGTCTCTTGCACGCTGCATATCCTACAGGTGGTCATTTATTGAAATCTCAAATACGTACGTCAGATGAATGTCTTTTCTGTAACGAAAACGATGATTTGGTGCACACCTTTGTTGAATGTCCGAGACTGGCCCCTATTTTGAAACATTCGATATAATAACTCACAAGCTACCAAACATTAACACCACTATATTCATCACTATCTGACAGGGCTAGCGAACCTGGAAAAATGCTATCCCATCTAAAATCTTACTGCTCCTGATACTTTTTGCAAAAGTAGTCTCTTTTCGCCATCATT